GAGAAAATATTAAGTCGTGATCACGAGAAAACAACTTTTGTTATGTCGTGAGTCCCAAGAAAACAACTTTTGTTATGTCGTGAGTCCCAAGAAAACAACTTTTGTTATGTCGTGAGTCCCAAGAAAACAACTTTTGTTATGTCGTGAGTCCCAAGAAAACAACTTTTGTTATGTCGTGAGTCCCAAGAAAACAACTTTTGTTATGTCGTGAGTCCCAAGAAAACAACTTTTGTTATGTCGTGATCACGAGAAAATTAAGTCGTGATAACGAGAAAACTACTTTCGTTATGTCGAGATCACGAGAAAATATTAAGTCGTGATAATGAGAAAACAACTTTTGTTATGTCGTGATCACGAGAAAATATTAAGTTGTGATCACGAGAAAACAAGAAAGAAAAATATTAATAATCCATGGCCTCTTAGGACTTCCGTAGAAGATACTTCTTTCAAAAACATAAAAAAAAATCTTACAGACCTCAAATGTTTGAACAGTAGATTATAAAAAAACTATTTCATGAGCTACTATTCAATCACAGCACAAAACATGATAGTTAATAGTTGTAAAATATCATGTTTCAGCACATTTGAGAGCTCTTTCAATGCTAGAAGGTATCAAATTTAATGCCATGTCATTAGTGGTGTTCGCTGGCAGATTAATAACATCTCAGACTTACATTGGAGGAGGAACCACAATAGACTGGGTTGGACTCTTTTGGCTTCAACTTCATATATGTTACTATATAGAGACACTAAAGCTCCCTGCTGTTTCATACAGTCCATGAAACTGTGAGAGCGCACAGAGAGGATGATAATTACGATCTTCACACCTGGGTCTCTAGAGACAGACAGCTTCCTAAAGCGATAACGGACAATGCCGTACCCTCCCCAGAAAGCCTGCTTTGCTCCTCCTGGTGGTTTCATTCAGCTGCCACACAAACCTACAGAGATTTATTTACATGTTTGTGTTTGGTTCATGCATCATGAAGAGCTGAGAGGGTAAAACAAATGAGTATTAAGCTTAAGGATCTCTGCATGACTCACACTGGATTCCAATAAAATTTGACGTGCTAGAATGTTGCAAAAATGTTGGATTCCAATAAATTTTAACGTGTTAGAATGTTTCTAAAATGTTGGATTCCAATAGAATTCAGGTTGTTAGAATGTTGCAAAAATGTTGGATTCCAATCAATTTTAACGTGTTAGAATGTTTCTAAAATGTTGGATTCCAATAGAATTCAGGTTGTTAGAATGTTGCAAAAATGTTGGATTCCAATCAATTTTAACGTGTTAGAATGTTTCTAAAATGTTGGATTACAATAGAATTTGACATGGTAGAATGTTGATAAAATGCTGGATTCCAATAGAATTTGACATGCTAGAATGTTGGTAAAATGCTGGATTCCAATAGAATTTGATGTGCTAGAATGTTGCTAAAATGTTGGATTCCAATTAATTTTGACGTGTTAGAATGTTTCTAAAATGTTGGATTCCAATAGAATTCAGGGTGTTAGAATGTTTCTAAAATGTTGGATTCCAATAGAATTTGACATGGTAGAATGTTGATAAAATGCTGGATTCCAATAGAATTTGATGTGTTAGAATGTTTCTAAAATGTTGGATTACAATAGAATTTGACATGGTAGAATGTTGATAAAATGCTGGATTCCAATAGAATTTGACATGCTAGAATGTTGGTAAAATGCTGGATTCCAATAGAATTTGATGTGCTAGAATGTTGCTAAAATGTTGGATTCCAATTAATTTTGACGTGTTAGAATGTTTCTAAAATGTTGGATTCCAATAGAATTTGACATGGTAGAATGTTGCTAAAATGCTGGATTCCAATAGAATTTGATGTGTTAGAATGTTGCTAAAATGTTGGATTCCAATAAATTTTGACGTGCGAGCGGCGCTGAGCGTATTGAGCGAGCGGAGCGGAATCTTCAGAAAGGCGCTCTGCGCTCTTAAGGAAATATTACCACTCCGCTCCCCGCTCCGCTCACATGCTCTGATTCCAATAGAATTTGACATGCTAGAATGTTGTTAAAATGTTGGATTCTAATATAATTTGATGTGTTAGAATGTTGCTAAAATGTTGGATTCCAATAGAATTTGATGTGTTAGAATGTTGCTAAAATTCTGGATTCCAATCAATTTTGATGT